ACATGTTATAAAAAGAGGAAGATGTTTCATTTTTGGACGCTAAAATCCGTCATTAGTCAGAAAATTGTGACGAGCTCAACCGAAATACAGTCACTCAGTCTTTTTTAGCAATTCTGGCTTCGATCATGCAAATCACACCCGCTAGAAAATTAAAAGTTCACTAAGACAATAAGTCGATTGTCACGCAAAGATAGGTTACCGTTTAAAGAAAGAAACTTAGGTTGTACTGTGATCAATCTTGTGATGTAAATGAAAGTTTTAAAAGAATCAACACTTAAGCTTGTCGCTCCCCATGAAAAATAGAATAACACTTCTCATTTTAGGGATAAAAGTGTGACATACAAACCCAAATACTGTGTACTTATTGATTGAGAGGTAGGAGCGTAGCGAGGTCCTTGCTTCGTGACTGAGAGCCTAATATTTTCCCGTCCGGCCCAACAAAACTCAGTCAATAAACATTTTATCATATCACCACTAACTGTTGAAAATTTCGACCTAAATAGGACGCGATAGACGGGCATACGAGCACAAATCTTTTTTTGTTTGTTTGTTTGTTTTCTTGTCCAGCGGCGAATTCTACAATACATATTTTTCTAAACGCCGTAATCCGTTTTTTTCTCTGTTTAAGCGCCAGAGTCTCGAGTAAGAAGATAAGTCATGACGCTGCGCGCTCACGAAGAGAAATGTTTTAATCTCGATAGAAACTAAGACTTTCTTAAATTCAATGTTACTGCATACATAATATTGGCGTACTTTTCCGTTGATCGGATGCTTCATATCCCTACCGTTAAATGGCTTTCTTAAAACCGTTAAGGTTTTATACAATATATTTCAACCTCATTACAGAATGAAACTGATGGTTTCCACAATCACGTGATCAAAAACTAAAATCAATATCAAGACATATTTATAATGCAGAATGTCCTTTACTGATGTCAGCAGAGGCGGCCCAAGCTCACATCTAGAGAAAAAACAAACGATTAATTCATGAAAGCGTCACGCGTTGTGTGACTCGGTAGTCACTCACAAGAAATGAACACGTCCTATAGAATTGTATGGGGAACCAAATATGGTCGATTTGAAGTAGTAAAAGTGTGACGTGCAAAACCGAAATAGACTCACTGCGGAGTAAACTGCTGATCGGTTTTCCATATCAGTTCATGAAAAGTTGATTATCGCTCACAGCAAGCTTACTGTTTAAAGAAAGAAGCTTTGGTTCTATTGGTATCGATCTTATAATGAAATTTTAATTTTCGAAATGGATGGACACAAGCCTGACGTTTCCTGTGAAAAAAAAATGGAATAAGTTATTTTATACATATGTTCAATCCATCAGCGGTTATAAAGTGTGACGTACGAAACCGAAATTCATTCGTTTGAGATGGAACACTTAAATCTTCGGAGTAAATGTTGATTCGCCCTCCAGATCCCCCTCTCATTAATTCGCCGTTAGTATTCGAATTCCGTTTTGAATTTTCGAAAGTCGCATGAAAACTGGGGAGTTTAACTCTCACTATCTTCTGCAAGGTTAGAGATATATTTATAATTTGTACTAACATTTCGTGATATGAGAATCACTAGTTCACGTCTCGTACATAATGAATCACTTCAGGAAAAAAAAAACATACCATTTTGATCTTTTTCTCGATCGTATTTGATAATTGATCAGTTCCTATTCTCAGTAGTTTTTTTAATTAATTTTAATCACAGTTTTCATTTTTCCTAATCACAAATTGGCAGTAACAGTGTTTGATAGACGGTCTTAAGCTTAATAAGATTAACCGTGAGCCGTAAAACGGCCAAAAAAATTAGCAGTTAAACACTTTTCTGGTAAAAATTTATGGAACGAGTTGTTAAACATTTCTGGTAAAAATTTATGGAACGAGTTGTTAAACATTTCTGGTAACAACTCATGGAATGATGTTAACCGTTACTCGTAAAATGGCCAAACTTTTAACCGTTAGCCGTAAAAGCCATCACCCCGAAAACGAAATTTCTCCGCATTTCGAGAAATCAGGTAATGTTGACGTCAATACTAAATTAAACGGGAAGCAAGCTTGTCAAGCTGGCAATTGTTTGTTATTTTTTAAAGACATGGAAGAACCTAAGCCATATATAATTATTGTCATTCAAATGATCGCTGGGTGTTAATGCCCTCTGGTTGCAAGTTTCTTGCGATTGTCTAAGGAAAAGAGGAAACAAAAAGGTTGAAAAGCACTATTGCCATTGGGAGTTTTCAGGAAAGTCCCTTCCGGATGCGTGGATCCTACAACGTAACTGTGGTCCAGTCCATTTCCCCCACCTCTCTTTCCTTCTCAAAAGAAATATGAAGGACTATTAAATATAACTATTGATTATTACTGAAAGTCAAGCTACCTCCTCATTTACTTGTTGCCATATTTCAGTCATTGGATTAACACCTTCAAAGATAAGACCAGTGATGTGGTTATGTTCAAGCAAATTACCGATCCACTCCGTCCGTTTTCTTTTTTTTTTTTTTTTTATCAATTATCTCAGTTGCTATTTTTGTCTTCGATCATGCAAATCACACCCTCAAGAAAATGAAAAGTTCACGTGTACAATGGGTCAGTTTCTACGCACAGATAGCTTACTGTTTAAAGACAGAAGCTTTAGTTGTACGCTCAATCTTATCGATCTCGTGATGCAAATCCTAACGAACTAAAAGGGATGAACACTGAAGCCTGGCGTTTTCGAATAAACAAAGTAAGATGTGTCATTTTTGGATGCTCAAATCCATCATTAGTTAGAAAAGTGTGACGTGCCAAACCAAAATACAGTCACTAAGTTTTTTTAGTATTTTTGGCTTCGATCATGCAAATCACACCGGCTAGAAAATGAAAAGTTCACGAAGACAATGAGTCCATTAACACGCAAAGATAGCCTAGCGTTAAAAAAGAAACTTAGGATCGATCTTGTGATGAAAATCAAACCTTACAAAGGGGTAAACACTAAAGCCCGACATTTCCTATTAAAAAAAGAATAACGCCTTTCATTTTCCACCTTCAATTACATCGTGTGTGATAAAAGTTGGACGTACAAAATCGAAATACTGTGTTCTTATCAACTGAGTGGTAGGGCCGGAAGGAAAATTATTTGGCTCGGGGTCATGACTTATGGACCGAGCGCAGCGAGGCTCAAGCTTCATCACCCAGAGCCAAATATTTTCTCCACTGGCCCCACTAAATTCGGTCAATAAGCATTTTATCATATGACCACTGACCATTTTCAACGTTAATGGGAAGCGATAGACGGACATGCGAACGCACAAAAAATATGCAATTTTATTTCGAGTAGCCTAGAGCGGGAGGGGAATAACCGAAAACACACGTGATCTAGATACCTAAAACGCCGTGACAGCGGAAGTTCGGAAGGTTGAGAAAAGTGCGGAGTGTAATTCATTATTTTTGTTGTTTCATTTTGAAAGCATCAGCCACATTGTCAACATCTTGGTAAGTGCGATTGAAAATCTTCCCTATTCACTCGGTTTTTATCAGCCTTAGTCATTTAGTAACTGTAGAGAGGTAAGGCTCTCATGGCAAAGCCCAGTAGCTGCTTTTTCGAGCTTTGTTTTTGCAATATGTAGTGATGTCTCGTTTCGAGCGTTAGCCCTTCATTTAAGCGGTTAATGGCGCGATTGAATCGCCACCACAGTGAAATAAATTCGTTATCCAGCGGTCTTCTCAAATCTCTGTAGCTTTATACCGTTTAATTTATCCTCATGAACTAATGTTATTGAGTATCGTTCAATTTGAGAAATTGATGATCATAAAACTAAAATCAGACCTTTATTTATGTTGTGGACTGACCCTCGCTGAAGGAAATCCGAAATACCTGCGAGTTAACAAATTTGATGAACTTCAACACGGAAGCTGAGTCAGTTCAGTAGTAAACTTGGTCTGCTGTCATTTCCAATTCTTCTCGAATAATTCTGGAGAGCCTTACGCAGATAACACTGACTGTCAGTTCCAATATTGGAATTAAAATTTCATGTATGGGACTTTCTTCTTCCATGACAAATGCACAGTGAACTTGGTTAATGACATTTTTCAAACGGAAGTAAACGACGGCTGAAATTCATTATCATGGCCAATTTACATTGTTAACTCAGTTGGTAAAGCCAAATAGTTTTTTAATACCCCACCAAAGTTTCTTCAAATACTTACCCCGTTGTTTATAGAAACTATGCATGTGGAAAGTTCTCATTGCAAAAGTTAAGATAAAGTCTGTCAGTTTTTTTTATCTTTGTCCAATGACTTTAAAGTCATGTCATGTTCTGCAAAAATCCCAACTTGAGGAAAATGAAAGGTGACCAACCGACTTCGTCACTTTTTTTTTTTTTTTTTTTTTTTTTTAAGTGGATATTGTGAATTCTAACACTTTCAGCTTGTTACAAATAGTTTCCGGGTGTAATCGACCCAGCCCGTTTTTGTAACTTAACATGTGTGTTCCTGTTTAAAGTGACTCGTTATTAATCAAGATTATCGACCATTTAGTATTGTGTTACTAAAAATAATGTTTCCCTGATAACAGGTGAGGATTGCAATGGAAACCTAACAGCAGAAGCCATGACACCTTTCATGAGCCTCGCCTTATTTGTTGCCCTGTTCTTGCTCAACTCAGATCGCATTCAGAAAGCCATTGAGATATGCAACGAATGTTTGATTTTGCTAAATGGCACCGATCAAAACAGCAAAGACCAATTTGATTCAGCACTGCTACAATTTTACAGCGACATCTATACCATTCTTTTCAGCGCCTATCGTCATATCTCTGACTACATAAGTGCGGAAAGATACGGAAGGAAACTGTTTGACTTAAACAGAGGGTATGGAATTATGCTTTATAAACTTGGCGAAAGCCTAAAAGCAAAGGAATATTTTGAAAGGGCCCTTGGCATAGCAACCAAAATTGGCGACAGAGAAGGGGAAGCATCATGTTATGGAAACCTAGGTACTGTGTTTAAGTCGCTTGGCCAATACGACAAGGCTGAAGAGTATCTCCACAAAGCCCTTGTCATCACGACTGAAATTGGCGACAAAGGAAGGGAAGCATCATGTTATGGAAACCTAGGTACTGTGTTTACGTCGCTTGGCCAATACGACAAGGCTGAAGAGTATCTCCAAAAAGCGCTTGTCATCAAAACTGAAATTGGCGACAGACGAGGGGAAGCATCATGTTATGGAAACCTAGGTACTGTGTTTCTGTCCGTTGGCCAATACGACATGGCTGAAGAGTATCTCCAAAAAGCGCTTCTCATCACAACTGAAATTGGAGACAGACGAGGGGAAGCATCATGTTATGGAAACCTAGGTACTGTGTTTACGTCGCTTGGCCAATACGACAAGGCTGAAGAGTATCTCCACAAAGCGCTTTTCATCAGAACTGAAATTGGCGACAGAGAAGGGGAGGCAACTGACTACGGAAACCTAGGTACTGTGTTTACGTCGCTTGGCCAATACGACAAGGCTGAAGAGTATCTCCACAAAGCGCTTGTCATCAGAACTGAAATTGGCGACAGAGAAGGGGAAGCATCATGTTATGGAAACCTAGGTACTGTGTTTACGTCGCTTGGCCAATACGACAAGGCTGAAGAGTATCTCCAAAAAGCGCTTGTCATCAGAACTGAAATTGGCGACAGAGGAGGGGAAGCATCATGTTATGGAAACCTAGGTACTGTGTTTACGTCGCTTGGCCAATACGACAAGGCTGAAGAGTATCTCCACAAAGCGCTTGTCATCAGAACTGAAATTGGCGACAGAGAAGGGGAGGCAACTGACTACGGAAACCTAGGTACTGTGTTTAAGTCGCTTGGCCAATACGACAAGGCTGAAGAGTATCTCCAAAAAGCGCTTGTCATCACAACTGAAATTGGCGACAGAGGAGGGGAAGCATCATGTTATGGAAACCTAGGTACTGTGTTTACGTCGCTTGGCCAATACGACAAGGCTGAAGAGTATCTCCACAAAGCGCTTGTCATCACAACTGAAATTGGCGACAGAGGAGGGGAAGCATCATGTTATGGAAACCTAGGTACTGTGTTTACGTCGCTTGGCCAATACGACAAGGCTGAAGAGTATCTCCAAAAAGCGCTTGTCATCACAACTGAAATTGGCGACAGACGAGGGGAAGCATCATGTTATGGAAACCTAGGTACTGTGTTTACGTCGCTTGGCCAATACGACAAGGCTGAAGAGTATCTCCAAAAAGCGCTTGTCATCAGAACTGAAATTGGCGACAGAGAAGGGGAGGCAACTGACTATGGAAACCTAGGTACTGTGTTTACGTCGCTTGGCCAATACGACAAGGCTGAAGAGTATCTCCAAAAAGCGCTTGTCATCACAACTGAAATTGGCGACAGAGGAGGGGAAGCATCATGTTATGGAAACCTAGGTACTGTGTTAACGTCGCTTGGCCAATACGACAAGGCTGAAGAGTATCTCCAAAAAGCGCTTGTCATCAGAACTGAAATTGGCGACAGAGGAGGGGAAGCATCATGTTATGGAAACCTAGGTACTGTGTTTACGTCGCTTGGCCAATACGACAAGGCTGAAGAGTATCTCTCAAAAGCGCTTGTCATCAGAACTGAAATTGGCGACAGAGAAGGGGAGGCAACTGACTACGGAAACCTAGGTACTGTGTTTACGTCGCTTGGCCAATACGACAAGGCTGAAGAGTATCTCCACAAAGCGCTTGTCATCACAACTGAAATTGGCGACAGACGAGGGGAAGCATCATGTTATGGAAACCTAGGTACTGTGTTTACGTCGCTTGGCCAATACGACAAGGCTGAAGAGTATCTCCAAAAAGCGCTTGTCATCAGAACTGAAATTGGCGACAGAGAAGGGGAGGCAACTGACTATGGAAACCTAGGTACTGTGTTTCAGTCGCTTGGCCAATACGACAAGGCTGAAGAGTATCTCCAAAAAGCGCTTGTCATCACAACTGAAATTGGCGACAGACGAGGGGAAGCATCATGTTATGGAAACCTAGGTACTGTGTTTAAGTCGCTTGGCCAATACGACAAGGCTGAAGAGTATCTCCAAAAAGCGCTTGTCATCAGAACTGAAATTGGCGACAGAGAAGGGGAGGCAACTGACTACGGAAACCTAGGTACTGTGTTTACGTCGCTTGGCCAATACGACAAGGCTGAAGAGTATCTCCAAAAAGCGCTTGTCATCAAAACTGAAATTGGCGACAGACGAGGGGAAGCATCATGTTATGGAAACCTAGGTACTGTGTTTACGTCGCTTGGCCAATACGACAAGGCTGAAGAGTATCTCCAAAAAGCGCTTGTCATCAGAACTGAAATTGGCGACAGAGAAGGGGAGGCAGCTGACTACGGAAACCTTGGAAGTTTGTTTCGAACTGTTGGTGATTTTGAAGCTTCGGAAGTATGCTTGGAGAAAGCTTTATTCATATACAGAGATATTGGAGATGGAAGAAGAGAGTTTGAAATCCTCGGAAGTTACGCCGTTTTGTATTTATATCAAGATAAAATCAAAGACTCTCTGTCGTGTCTTCACCTGTGCATTGAAAAGTATGAGGAGCTGAGATATCTCTTGGTCGCCAATGATCAGTTCAAAACATCATTTCTGGAGAACACAGGAATATTTTCCTACAAGCTGCTTTGTACTTTGCTTTGTGACACCGGAAATGCTCGGGATGCTCTTTATGTTGAGGAGTTGGGTCGAGCTAGAGGCCTATTAGACTTAATGGCAGAGAAGTACTCGGTTGAAACGCACATCTCTGCTAATCCACAATCTTGGTTTGGCATTGAGAACATTTTAAGAAAGAAAAATAACTGCACTTGTCTGTACATTTCTTATTTTCAGAATCGTCTGCATTTGTGGATCTTGAAAACAAGTGGAGTCCTTCACTATAGAAGAGTATCACCAGAAGAGAATCTAGTTCAGGCTGGGTTGCCCAGAGATTTGTCTTTAAGTAAATTTTTGGCAGATTATTTGCAAACTCTCTCCCCCGGGCAAAAGAGCTCAGCAGGATTGCGACTCGTGGAGGAACACGAGGACGAGAACGAAGGAGTCATTTCAAGTCTATCTTTGTGTTACAAAATGTTTATTGCCCCCGTTTATGATTTGCTTGAGGAGCCTGAAGTCATAATCGTCCCTGACCGCTGTTTGTACAAAGTTCCGTTTGCTGCTCTCCGTGAAAAGGAGGGGACCGAATACCTGTCGGAGACCCATAGGATCCGTCTCATTCCTTCTTTGACAACACTCAAGACCATTCAATATAGTCCAGAGGATTATCACACCAACGCTGGTGCCTTGGTAATAGGCAATCCCAAGGTTGATTGGCTGCTGCCATTGCCAGGTGCAAGAAAGGAAGCGGAGATGGTCGGACGATTGGTGGGTGTTCCGCCTCTGGTAGACGAGAAAGCAACGTGGCAGGCGGTGCTTGAGCGGATAAGTTCAGTGAGCCTGATACATTTTGCTGCCCATGGTAACGCTGAGAGGGGAGAAATTGCCCTCTCTCCCATTCCTGCTCCTAACGGTCGAAACGCTATCCTACCACAGGAAGCTTACATGTTGACGATGGCTGATGTCTCACGAGTAAAAATCAGAGCTAAACTGGTGGTACTTAGCTGCTCTCACAGTGGAAGTGGAGAGATAAGAGCCGAGGGAGTTATAGGAATTGCCCGTGCGTTCTTAGGATCCGGTGCTCGCTCTGTGTTGGTTGCGCTGTGGACCATTTCAGACTCAGCAACAGAGCAGCTGATGAGTCGGTTCTACAAACACCTTGTTGAAGGAGAAAGTGCCGGTGAATCCCTTCATCAGGCCATGAAGTGGATGAGAAAAAACGGCTTTACCAAAGTGTCTGAGTGGGCTTCGTTTACGCTGATTGGAGATGATGTGAGGCTCGAGTTTGGCAAGCAGAGGTAAGACTCGGTGAGGACAGGTATTTCATAAATTAAAGTTAAGTTAGATGTGAAGGTGGCTTTAACTTACTGGTTGCTGACTGTCGGCGGTGATCCTTTGTCACCTTGAAAATCAAAGTTGGTTTTATACCCTTTTTTTGTTTCTTTCAAAAGGTAACAATTTATTCTTTCAGTTGGGTGTAAAATATAGAATCTCGAAAGGGGCCTCTCTGCCAATCAGATGCAAGTGTACATTTGCCTACGTATTACGCCTGGTAGAACTGTATTTCCTTTATTTAAGAAATGTTTATTAAGTTATTTATAATTGTTTTTTTTACGTTTGTTACAGGAAAGAAGATGAGAATAGCTCGAAGGAAACAGACCTTAAAGACTTGTAGCTGGATAACCAAATAGAATAAGTAGAGAAAATACTCTATCCGTTATTTCATTGTGTAATTAAGGAAAGGGCAACCTCAAATTAAGGATATTAATTTCAATTTTTTACATTCTCTTTTCCGATCTTCTCAGAAGGAGGTATTGGTTACGTATCCGAGAATATTTTTTCTGCACAAAAATTGTCTTATCCGGCCGATATAATTAGCACGAAACATCATTGACTTAGGGCTCTTAAGTAAAGTGAAATAAGCAAAGTTAAAACAGTAGTTTAAGCATCAAAAACGAATCAGTTAAGTCTTACAGGGTTTTCTTACAAAGCCTTTTGTTATAGGTTTCGTTAACAGAATCCTAAATTTTTTTATTTAAAATCTTTACGAAAAGCTTTTCTTTTGGTCAGTTCCAGTACTACTTCTGAGTGCTTAAAAAATTGGACAAAAATTAATGGATTTCCAAATAGAACCGTGGAAAAAGCTTTCAAGGTCAAGAACTTAATTAGTATCAAGTGGAAAAATGACGGCAGCAATATTTTGAAACTGGTTCAACAAGTCACTTAGGCATTGTAATGTTTGAGTTAAAGTATGTTTGCATAGTGATTTAATTGTTTTTAAGTCAGGTTATCGTCAAAATGTTGTTTAGGGAATCAAAATATTCTTGTTTTTTAGCACACTTAATACAATTTTTGGCAAAGTTTCTTAAGGGATTATGTAGTAATTTCAAAGACGCTAAAATAAAAGACAGCTTGAGATAAATCTTAGAAAATATCGTGAGCGTTTGTTGTAACCAGGTTACAGAGTAAAACAGATAGCACTGTTGTTCATTGTTAAGGCGGCAAGGTGGTGGGATAAAGGATGCAAGTGGTAGGAGTGTCTGTATGCGGTCCACGCATGTGCGCATGAGGAATTCTCATTCCTACCCCAACCTACACGTCCCACCCCCCTCCCTCCTCCACTTCGCTCTGCTTCAAAAAGGAAATTAAAGAGATGAATTCTTGCCGCGTTTGTTTGGAAACCTTTCCGTGAGCTATGTTTCAAACCACCGACCCCTTCGTATCGTGTACGGTCAATACGGAAGACAGTTCTCAGAGTCCTGATTAACCGACTTCGCGATGTTGAGTTAGTTGGGTGCTATAGAGACTAATCTTTACATAGAAGTAAAACATAAAATAAAAGACCCATTCAAGGTGCGTTGGCCCTGTGCGAGAAGATTTAGCAAAATTTAGAAGTCATTTTGAAATTTTGTAAGCGACTAGCTTTTGTTTCTGTTGTGGTAGAAAAAGTTTTTAAAACATTTGACAATAATTTCATGGGGCTCACCTCGCCGCATCGTTGGCAATTTTCGTCAGTCAGAGTCAAGACGCGCCAAGCTAAGTGACATTGCCCTCCAGTAAAATAATTTTCCAAAGAATAAATGTGGCGAGTGTGAGGAAACGCACATTTTTTCATTACTGTGATCAAAGCGCAATGATGTACCTTATTTGATATTTACGTTATCAAACTATTGATTCTGACAGGGTGAGCATAATTTTTCTGTCGAGGTCGACGTGACTTCACATTAAAAGCGTTTTTGACGAAACAAAGTGAGAAGGTAAAAAATTTTATTTATCTCCCACGCGTTTCGTGGGAGACAAATTCGGGAAGGGGGGGTGGTCCATTTCCCCCCCGGAAAAAAACACTTTTTCTCTTCACTTGCACACAATTGAACTTTCTTGTGCCTTTTAAGAAATTAATATTTTGAAGATAAAATAGTATTTAATAGGTAACAGATGTAACAGGTGATGTCGTTCCTTAATCTCGTACCACCGTGTAACTGATATAAAGGCTTGGCCGGCCACACAAGGCCGGGGTACGAAACAAGTTGCCCTCCTGGACGGTCGTCTCGAAACATGGTTGCGTCACCTCAAGCTTTAAGTTACGTTACCCCCAACTTGAAGTTCTTTAGTAATCGGGCAAAAATATCCGCTCGCGCAAGTCCCTAACTTAGAGCGGCTTCATCTTTGATTATAATTAAACTGACCGCTTTGATTTTAATTAGAAAAAACTGATTCTTTCATCACTCGCTCCAATCCTTCTGGAGCGCTGTAATCTTAAAAAGGATAATTCTTCGATCATCATAGCAAATAAAGTTCGATAATCAAATAACAATAGATGTTATTTAGCACAGTCTAATAAGGGGGAATGTTTAGCTTGTACAGCGGATAGTTGTACCAATTTGTAATACTATCGTTGTTTTTCTTTGGTTCATGCGATGGAGTACTGTCGTCAGCATACAGCTTCACAGGCATTTTGGTACCATAATAGACGTTGTCTTGGAGCACGTGATGTTGAGAAAGATCGCCATTGGTCAGCCAGATACATATGTAATTAGTGGGGTCGCTTACTCCAACGATCTCAAATACATTAGCGGAGTAAGTGATGTTCCAATCTATTCCAATATCATGGGGCTCGTAATAATAGATACCACTTGTGAGATGACCAGGATTGGTTCGTTGCACGATGTGATTTCTGTAGATGACAACGTTCTTCAAACCATTAAAGAGACATGGATTGATTGTTCTGTGAGTATACAAAAAAATACCTGTGTCGTCGAGGTAATTACGGGCAACCAATAGATTTTTTCCATTTCGAGCTTTAATGCCCCCTGAATAATCCGCTGGCCAGCCTCTGACGTAATTACTTACAACTTCCATCATGTTGAAGCCTTTGAGGTACATCACGTGGTCTCGGAAACGGCCTGTGTTTGGGCTTCCGTTGAAGATATTTTTCACGATTCTCATCCTTTCGTCGCACTCTTCATAACAACAACTTTGAAAGAAGCCTTGATCAGATCCCAGATTGTAATGAGTCATAAGGAATTCTAATTTTTGTTTTTGATCTCGCCAGTACCATGCTGGCTCAACTTTGGTGGCTAACCAGCCTATCTTGCCTAAATCCAGCCCACATATGTTTTCTCTCACCTCTACACCCACAGTGAAGGTAAATTTTGAAGCAACTCCATACGCATTAGAATCGCGCAAAAAGATGTTTCTGTACACATTACTGTTTCTAAGGTCCATCATTTCCAACTGCTCCCTCTCAGCGTTTCTCGGAGTTGGCCTTCCGGATGAAAAGAATACACAGCTGTTTATGGTAACGTTACTCATAGCTGTTGGTCCAGGGACTTCTCGATTGACTCCACCGTCAAAATTCACACGAATTCCGTCGAAGTACACATTATTCAATGAAACCGATTTCACTGGTGAAGCATTGTAAACTTGAAAAGCATAAGGAGTTGAGGACTTGATAACTGCGATACCGCTCTGTGTTCCGTGAAGTTCCACCGGGCCAGGGATGGCGATATTACTGCTTACTAGGTATTCACCTCGAGGGAAGAATACCTTATTATTTTTGGAACTTGCAGCGTGATTAACGATGGCCTGAATGG